AAAGCTTTAAAACAGATTCTTAAAAACATGTTAAAACTTCTGCCTTGATTTCAGCAGTGCTGAGCAGCATCCAACTGAAAAAGTTAGGAGAAAGCACCCTGTTTTTTTCAAGTTGAGAATACTCAAACCACTAGTCGCTTCTTAAACTTACGGTTTTCACTCTTATCTGTACATTCAGCCCATAAAAGTACTGCCTCCTACATAAAAATTTATTCTGTGTTTTGGAGTGATGGAATCTTTTTTCATCCATTTGGATTAGGAGTCTGTTTACAGTTAAGTGTTAGTGTTACCTACTTCTCCCAAGACTTACAAGCTTTTCTGTTTTTCTTGGATTTGTCAGTATGTGAACTCAATGATCCTGAATCAGACCCACCTAAAATTTTGGCTAAAAGCCTGAAGCTGTATAGCTGTTATACTTCTTTCAACCAATTTTAATATTTTCCTATTTGGAACAATAATTTTTAGACTATTTCTGTTTCACTTACCACAAAAGCCACCTATTCTTAGCTTAGTGCCAGAAGAGAGTTCCAGCAAGCATACTGAGCTGACTGATGCTCAACATTTACCTGCTGGTCTCAGGCTCTTTGTCAGAACACTGCTAAAGTTTTCCACTTGAGACTGAAACCCAGAGCAAAGGGTTTCTAGAAACAGCAAAAACGACAACAAGGGCAATGAGTTGGCAAGGGCTTTTTCTGTCATTGTTACTGTTCTCCATTACCCAGCAAAGGCTTGCCTTGTTGCTAAGCCTACCTCTCTTGCAAGACATTCAGACCACTGTCATTAGTCCAGCTGTCTAGTTATTTTGGTGTTAAGCTGTGGGCACAATTCTGTCTTAATGAGCTGTCCTGTCAACACGTACAAGACCACTGTTGGGTAAAAGCAGAGATGGACAGTATTACATTTGATGTATGAAAAATAACTACAGCTTGGTTTTTTTAATGCTCTTTTAAACAAAATAAAATAATAAGCTCTACTTCTTAATGGCCTAGAAAAGCTAAATTAGCATTTCTAACCTTTAAAACAGTTTCACATCCAAGGAAGTCTAGATTTGGATCTCACCACTAACAGCAGCAGTTTTAGCTGCACTTCTCCATGTTTCAAGCAGGATGAAATGGAATTGCTCACTAACCTGTAGTGCTCACCATGTACTTCCACTTCACCACATATGTGTCTCCCTCATGGAACTGCCCTATGCTTTGCTTAGGCAGTCTACTATAATCGAATTCCAGGATGTGCCAGACATCCACAGATGCAGTGATAATTTCAAACTGCCTCCCATCTTCTCCTTCTACAAGTCCATAGCCTCGGCCAATGTTCATTCCATCCAAGACTGTGCCAACAGTTGTTTGAGGCACAGGTACCATTAGCATGACATCATATGGTTTAGAGTCAGATCTGGATTCTTCCTGTCAAAAAACAGAAGAAATTTCTGTAAGCATAGCTTTTTTTCTTCTTACGCAACAGTTCCAGTCAAACAGTTTGACTCCTGCGTATTTCAGTACTTTAATATCTTCTCATCATTCTCATCACGCTTTGTCAAAGCCACCTTGGCAGTATTCATCGAGCTGCTTGGCATTAATATAAAGCAACTCGGTGGGCTCACTGTAGGTGGTGATGTTCTGACCCCTAGGTAAAAGCCCACAAGATAAAGAAAGTGCTCTGGATCCTTGAGAATAAGTTTCCCTGGCTTCAGTCCCAGCTAGGTCATTTAGTTTGAAATACCTAGCATGCTTATTATATGCACCTTCTGGTGAAGGGATTCACTAGAATTCTTCTCATTGAGCTTCTTCAGCTCTGTCCAATCAAGAAATTTTTCTTTGAACAGTATGGTCTCGTTATGTTCTGTGAGTCTGCCAAACACAGCCCAGTCTGGGCGTCCTTGTCCCTTTCTGTACAAGGGAACAAAAGAAATAGAATAAAATTAAACACCGTGAAATAAGGGCAAGAAAACTAAGTTTCTGCAAAGAGACTAAACTTGAGTTTTGATACCTGGGTATGAGGGGATTGCATTCTCCTGGGTCCAGAGGATTTATGTCACAATTGGAGTAGTCAAAGGTGCCATTCCACAGGTGTTTTGCCAGCTGAAATGCCACTTTTCTTTGCGCTAAAGTAACTTCCTTTCCATGCCATACATATACCTCACTGCCAAAATCAAACACCAGCACCTAAAAACCAAACCAAAACAAAAAAAACAACCTATCATTAGGTTAGGTGATACCCTGATCCTCCAGTTTCCTAGTGCTGCAAGCTGACAGTGCGTTGAACACAAACTCCTCCAAATATCTGAGTTTCTGCAGTGACACTAGCGACTAGCCCTGCAGTGCAAGTAAGGCCAGGACAGTGGTCTGCACTGTGACATCTCGTTGTTGAGGATGACTGGAAGCAAGTACAGGGAATGCTATGAGGTGTATCTTTAGTTGGTAGCTAACTCACTAGCAGATTAGAGAGCTCTTATTACTAAAACCCCAATTCTCTTGCATGACTGATTGCTGTCCAGTTACAGCAGCTTTCATAGAATCATTAAGGTTGGAAAAGGCCTCCAAGATCATCAAGTCCAACCGTCAACCCAACACCACCATGCCCACTAAACCATGTCCCAAAGTGCCATGTCTACACGTTTTTTTTAACACCTCCAGTGATGATCACTCCATCACTTTCCTGGGCAGCCTGTTCCA